TTCTCCCCTATACAAGAGAAGGATTTTCCAATACCCAACCTTAAATATCCAACTTAGCCAATCTACTCATGCTCCTTTTACCTCAGGAGGAATTTTCAAAGGGCAATGTAAAGCAGAAAACTAAATCAAATGTTCCAATTCCCCTCCCCCAAGATACCCCTTTACTATAGAGAAATCTCTGCAAAACAAATCAGCCAAACTAGTTATTTCATTTCAGCAAGGTATTATGTTCTAAATCATCTGGGTATCAAGTTAGCACAGCCATTTCAGCGTCAACACAAGAAAAGCCCTAACCAGTTCACTGTGATAAAAGGAAGTACCCATGAAAATTCAACAGATTTAATTAAACATACATCAGAAAACGTTCTTCAAGAACAGAGCCACGCATTCTACCATGTGGTGTACTACGTGATTAAGGACTCGCTCCGTGTCTTCAACTCTAGCCCAGACAACAAGTCAGATTATTTGGACCACAGTGGCCCTCATACACTAGGTGCTTTTCATGGGCAGATCAGAAAATCTCTGTCCTGAAGGGTTAACAGTCACTTAAATGGGATTTCACTTTGGAAGAACGAATACTAGGCTTCTGCTTCCTTAGCTTCCAGGATCTTCTTAGAGGACCTTGCCATGACTTTAAGGCAAACTCTGGTCATGGTGCCTACCAACAGGCACCAAGCATTGTCAAACAACATCAAATCCAGACACTTTCACAGCAGCAAGGAGCATAGTTTGAGTAGCTGTGCTCTAGAAGGGCAGCTGCCAGGAGAATTACCTTCTGTCTCCACTTGAATTCAAGTTCTGAGTTAAGTTGCTCGGTCACATTGCCAAAAGGCAAAACTGAGCATAAAACCCAGTCCCAGCCCTGTGCTCTCACTATTCTTCACCAACTATACGTGAAAAATTCCCCACATTCAACAAGACAATCCCTGCAGAGCTCTATTGTCTCAAATTATTAATTAAACATGCTCTCAAAGAAAGTAAATGCCTAAAATCATTTGCTTCTACTAAGCAACTCCCATATTACACTAACTGCAATTCAGACAGTCTAAGTATATCCATTCACTGTAATTCAGAAGGGACCACCACCAAAGAAACTCTCTCTTCACTCCTGTTCAAGAACATACATGCATGCAGAAGCCACAAGAGACCCCATCCAAGAAAACCCAGCCAATTTTCCTAAAAATCTGCTCAGTGTTGATAACTTGTCCCAGCTGAATATCTCAACCATCTTTTCATTCCCCTCAGGAGTAGTAGATGGCTGTTTGGATTTGTAATGACATACGCAACCTTTCATAACCAAGACAAATCCAACAATAGGCCATTACTCATCAGCAGTCATCTTGTACCTCTTCACTCACCTACATCAAGTTCTGATCTCAACCCATTTTTTTGCAGGATAAACAGCATACAAACACCCCAGTGCAACTAGCGGAACTGTCTGCCCAAACAGCCTGAAGAGTAATCAGGCATCGTAGAGCCTAAACCTCTTCAGTTTGAATCTTAGAAATACTGGTGGACATTGACATTCAACCTCATCTTGCTCCTTCTTGTGGATAAAGAGAAGACTAGGTTTTGCAGTAAAGACCTGGCTGATGGAAGTGTCCTCCATCTAAAGTTTGGTGATTAAGTATTTGTAGCTGCAGACAGCTGGAAGTTTGCTTAGGAGTTCAGAGATTCCAATCTAGAAAAAAAGTCCGATTTCACCATTACTTCAGTGTCTGCAAGAACAAAGAGGAATTTATAATATATGCTGTTTGTGTGGATGGCATATCTTTGACACTTAAATATGCAAAATGACAGTAGCATCTTTAATTGCTTAATTTTATATAAAAACTTAACCCCCCACACCTTCTGGAGGAGAAAGGAAAAATGCAAAGGGAAAAGAAAGTTTCTAGGTAAAATACAAAAAGAACCAGCATTTTCCTGCTGTTCGCAACAAGAGGACACTATCTACTTCCTTGGGAGCAGAGAAACTTTTTCTGAAGTCATCCCTACTAAAGTCATTCACAGCTCAATTCTCAGAGCTGCTAGTCAAAGTACGAACAAATGACAAGGAGGAACAGTCATAACAACAAAAAATGAAAAGCAAGGATACCGTAAGTAAGTTCTGACTCACAACACTCACAGCTATTTAATAACACATAATGAAATGCTATCATTTGGTAAAAATCACTGGAGTATTATCACCAACAAACACAGATAGATGACTGTCTACAAATGTAACAAAGAAGAAACTGGGATTCAACAATTAAAAAAAAAAAATCCCTCTACCTTTAATTACGACCTCCCAAGCTCTAGGCAGACATTAACCTATATTACCCTATAATTATTTTTTCTGACTTTCCATTATCTTTTAGCTACCGACTTTCCTAACCAGTCTTCAAGGCAACAAGGCAAGGGCCCTCACTGCATTATCTTTGAAAGTCTAAAATCAGAAGTACAGTAATATAAGTGTATCCATAAGAAATTGAGACTCAGCAGACATCCATGATGATTCCCCACCTCTCTGCATGTCCCATCACTTCCTTCCACTTCTCCTCTTGCAGGACCAATTCAATTCTACCCCAGCTAAGCCCAAACTGAATTAAATCATTTTGCATGCATAAGACTAGTTCTTGCTCCGAGGAATTTATAATTTAAGAAGCAGATGCAGAGGTGGCCAAAAAGTCAAAAGGAATGGCAGCATTAGGATTACATATATCCTGCATTCTGCTTTCCATGAGTAAAAGCCCGAGGCAAACAGAGAATCATGAAAAAAGAGGCACTCAAGAAAGGCTGAAGCAATAAACGCATAGATAAAACTGCCTAGCAATCACTGGAGTATACGGTATCAAGTAAGACACATGAGAAAAGGGTTACTGCCCCATCTCAGAGTTGACTCTGAAGAAATTAAACACAAAGATTGATATAAAGATGCATATTGAATGCAAAACATCAGGGCTATGTGATAAACACATTACAGCCAATGTAAAAACCACCAGGAAGTAGAACAGATAAGGTCCCAATGTTAATTATATTAGAGTGGGTATTTCTTGAGCTTCAGATCACAGAACATATGGGGGAAAAACAGTGAAAGCATCACACAGAACCTTAATCCTGCAGGTATATTTTGTCCATACAACCTTCTTGGAAGTGTTCTGCCCCCAAAGAACACATGCGTTATTTTTTAAAAGTTCATTTAAACTAGTATAAGCTAATGAGTTTTTTCTTCCATTAAGTGGTATATTTATTAGTATCATTTCATTCAAGAAGTTACTGAAGAAAATCAAGCTGAGGAAGAGCAACACATCTACTGACATCAGGGCAAGTCTCTGTAACAGGTAGGATTCTTTTGTTTGAGTGAAAGTTTAAGTCTTCTGGTTACTAAAGAATGCAGTAAAAGAAGTTCAAATACCAGCACAACTTTTAATGACTGCAACGTTTGGGTGTCCTGTCCCTGCCCCCCTCATCTCCAGCGAGTTTTGTCATCTTTGCTTTTAGGGATTTTCAGAGAAAGGAAGATGAAAGTGTGAGTTGGAGGAAGAGAGGATTGAGAATTTTACGATGTTCATTTTAATTCATGAAGTCATCTTTCCACAAAATGTCCAAACAAAAGCAGTCCCTGCCCAAATATCTCCACACCAGACTGCATGACAGTTTTTATTTGACAAACATACAAGTTGCAGCCTTTCAGTAAGAAATTTTTGCCTACTGTTTCTTACACAACTTGAAGTGCATTAAGATCTCTTCCATCGATCTCTCTTGAAACAAGTTTTACATTTAGTGACTACAAACTTGGGTAGTTAACAGAAAAATTACACCTCATTTCAATGCAGTTATTTCCTTCAAAGTGATAACTTAACTAAATACTATGTTTCTACATAAGGGAGTAACTACAGTATTCTTCTAGCTGCTTAGTTCATATTGTAGTATTTTATGAGATTTTTCTTCCAGAACAAATTAACAGGGCACTTGGGTTTACTTCTTTGTTGATGTACACACCGACTTCAGTGAGGTTGCAAAATTCACTGCAATGTTTGCTTTTAAATGGTCTGGATGGCAACACATCCCCTGGGGAGGCACAGAGGAGGAGCAAGGGCTTGTTCTCTTTTATTTGAAAAACTAGAGGCAGGCGATATTCATAAAGGTTGCAAAAGCTTTGGGTCTGCTGCTCTGACGATATTTGTGGGAATCATTCTAAAATGTGCTTACACTTAAGTTCTGCTCCCTTAGAAGAGGAAGCACATCTCCTCCTTTGACGAGTTACTTACAGGTCACAGACAGAAAGCTAGAGTGAGTCATGCACTCATTTAACTCGCAGCACATCTGACAATGCAACTACTGAAAAGACTTCTAGTAAACACTACTATTGAGACACGTTTTGGCCCACTACCCTTTTAGAAACGTTAAGTCACTGTAAGAAGTTAGCTGTGTGTCTAAAGGCACTGTTACATGACATTCTTAAGGCTGTTCTCGTTTCCATTCAGCTAAGCACATTAATAGAGCCTTCCCCTCCCAATTATAACCAAAAAAACCCAAACCCCAAAGCAAACAAGCAAAGAAACCCAGGAAAACACATTACCAGCAACTTCCAGAACTGTGTTTTTCAATATTGGGAATGGTGAAAGCCCAGCCTACATGCATTGGCAGTTTTGTAATACCATTACATAAGAATTATTTAACTACAGCAACAGATCTGAAAAGCAGCAGCAGCCACTGCTACGCAGGTTCACACATTAAAAAAAAAAAAAAAAAAAATCAATAAAGGGAATGATAAATTTTGCAAACATGCATTTGACTGTCACAGAGTGGATTGGGATTTCAACACCCTCAAGAGCAGAAATGTTTCAGCTTATAGCTACCAAGGCACCGCAATCCTGAAAAGAGAAAACAAAAAGCACGACTGTTGCCATTCCAACCGCACAATAACCAGCTTAAGCTTTAAAAAGTGTCATTAAAAGCATCTATCATAAGCCCGATGCGTTCACACGTTGAGTTTGGAAACATGGAATTTTTTTTACCTGATGTTCTGCATGAATGTTATCCCCGGTAGGCCAGCGATGTTTGCTGTTATTATAGCCGCCTCCACCACTTCCTCCTCCCCCAAGCTGCTCACCATGCTGCCTCTGGAAGAAGTAATCCACCATAGCGTCGTCCTGGGAGCGGCCTGCAACTCCTATGGATCCAGGAACAGGACTGGAGTGTGTCCCTGCTGCAAGCGCCTGATTTGCAGCTGGCTGTTGCTGAGCCTGGGACCCTGTTCCAGATGTCAATACAACAGGCATGTTGGGATTAGCTGTATCTTGAGCGTGCTGTTTCAGGTGGGGGCTGAACGAGTCCTGCCAGAGTACTGCTTTTCTCTTCAAAACACACGCAACGCTCATTCCACCAACACCTACGGGGGGTGAGGGTAAGGGGGAGAGATGGCGAGAAAGAGAGAAGGAAAAGAAAACATGAAATCCTTATAGCTTCAGCTTTACATATGAAATAACACACCCATCTTGTGACTGGCAGGGAAACATCACGATGCCAAATCTGACTCCTTTTAACATGGTTATTTGCTCCATTAACCTACCAACTAAAATATCATAAAAATGCACGCTAGCCAAAAATCCCACATTTTGTGCTGCAAAGTGTTATCAGTATATGCAAGATTCATGCAAGGTGCCCATTACACTGAAATCAGAACGCCAATTTATGCGATGGACAAAACAACAACTGGAGTGCCGCCACAGAAGATTGCTAGAAAAAAGTCCCCGAAAAACCCCGTGGAACACAAATTACACCATCAGTGCCTGCCATGCGTGTTTACACCTGACAAATTACAAGGCAGATCTTCAATCAATACACGAGTCCCACTGTATCACGATGTGTTCACTCAGTCATGCAAAACATCAAGGCAACAGTGGGGTTTTTTTCAAATGCAAACTTAAAATACTGGATTTCTGCTTATACAGTTAATTAAGTCCCAAATACAATGTGCACTCTTCCTGAAAACTCAGAAGCTGGCTTCGGTCATGAGATGGTAAAACACACCGGCATGTTTTGTACGACATTCCCTGAAGAAAGAGCAGCTAACCTCTGCCCGGTGCCCGGGATCTCGGCAGAACCTTCCAGAGCTGGAGCAGCCAGCAGTGCCGGTCCCACAGTCGACAGCACCAGGGGAAAGCTGGACGAGTCGTAGAAACCATCCAACCCCAAATGCTTTGCATACACCCAAAATCATCTGTGTGCAGGAGGACAACAGGCAGACTAGGCTGACAGCAACTCACTGATTTACTACCCCCCCAAATGTTTTGACAGCATCCCAGCAGCACAAAAACATACAAGCTTGTTATTTTGTTTAGGACAATATTATCAGCTGACCCTGAGAGCAATAAAGACATTACATGTGTGAAAAGTGTTTTACCCCATCATATAATGCTCAGCCAACGCAGAGCAAACTCGAATTTGTTTTTTAAGGCATGGTACAGTCAGAATTATTATTATTTTTTAAAAAGATTGCTAGTTTATGACTTCAGTTACCTAAATGCAACCCCAAAAACACCACAGAGAGTTAGAAGGATGAAACGGTGGGGGTGAGTTCAACCCATACGGACTCCCACCACAGCTGCATACCAGCACGAGAATGCTTTTACTCTTGTACCTTGGTGGCTGTAAACCTTGGCCCTGATCCTGACAGCAGCTCCTACGGCCTGAAAGGCAGCTCTGTTTCCTTTCTGCTCATCATAGTAGTTTTGAACAGTCAACTACTACAAGCAACTTCCAAGAACAATTTTCTAACAGTGGAGAGAGAAAGTTGACACAAAAAAAAAAAAAAAAAAATCCAAGTCCTGCCTTTGATCAAACTTACTTAGGTTTGTCCCACTAATTGGGAACAGCATTAATATTCAGAAGAAAATAAGAACTGCAGTGGTAAGACTTTTTTATTGCACCTACAACATGCATTTGTCAACACACACACAGAGCCTCCATGGCCACATAAACAACCAACTCTGCAAAGCATTTTATAGGTTCAAAAACCTTCACGACTTAAATACCAGTAACATTTAACAGAACTAACTCCTGTCTTTCAAAAAGTCTGGAAATCACTACCTTCCTTAAATACTTCATAAAACACTGTGACAACGCCTGGTATTACTAAACCTTCAATGATTGTTAAGAATACAATGCTACGATTTAATGGCATTTTTCCTTTAGCTTTCCTTTAATAAACGTTATAAACAAAATCCTTCAGTAACATGAAATGAAGCAATAAAGCTCCTCTACACAATAAGAAAAAAATAATTAAGTAATTACTGGTAAGAAATTCACATACCACCAAGTCGGGGTGTATATTAATTGCAGACAATGAAATCTGAGCAGCCCCTATGAAAAGAGGTTACAAGTTATCCCAGGGCAGTCTTTAAAAAATATAAGGAGATACTATGAATGCACAAAACCTTTCAAGTATCACTATATTGTGACAAGCCCCTGTTTCCAGTTGGAAATACCACAGCGTACAAAGTTGTGAGTGGAAGTCAGCACAACCACAACCTTACTTTCCTCCCTCAAAAGGCAGTGGGCTGCAAGGTCCCTCTGCTCACCAGCACAAATTCACTTCTGGTTTAATTCGCACGCAGATCGTTAATAATTGCGTTACTATAAAAACAGGGTTTTTTTGAGACTCTAGAAAATCTCAGTTAAGGTACTATGAAGATCCGCACAAGTGCCTCCTGCTCCCAGATGCTTCCTCTTTCGTCTAATACAGACGAGGCAGCTCCAAACACGAGAGAAAAACTTGGCAAAGGCGACATTTTGAAAGGGAGCAAAGGGGAAAAGAGCATTCTGGGTAGTTCAAGTTTAGTTCCAAGACGTGTTTTTATAGAAATGCCGTGTTAAATGTAGCGGACAGCTGAATCCTGTCATTCAAAGCACACAGAGCATCAGAAATATGTTAAGTCACCTACACAACGCACATTCATTAGCTAACCGGCAGCTGCAAGACTCGCCGCTGCTAATGGCTACTAGGACCCTTTTCATTCCCAAACTCTTAGTAAAAATATATAATCAACTTCTCCTAGGTAAACTGTTTGCTGGGAAGAGTTACGTATTTACAAACAAAGGCTTCTACTCTGCTACAATGCGCTCCAAGAGGACAATTTTCCTTTTCCCTTGATAAAAACACAGCATGCAAATAAACTGCTCTGTGTTATCATTACAAGCAAAATACTTTAGATTATGGGACGTTCCACAAGCAACAAAAACTTTGGAGACATCTCCAAGCAAGTTTTAAGCTTAAGTGGCGACGGCGCTGAATAAGGCAGCTTTAATCCGCGTCGAGCACAGCTATGCCTTCAGAGCTTCCTTGCTCTTATTCAATATTCCTCTAAAAATAACAGACAATATTAAAAAATTAAGTCTGCGCAAGATGCGCATTTCAAAAAGTTCAGTCGTGAACTAGAAGACACTTTGGGTTGGGTGGGGTTTTTTTTGAAAGTTAGACTGGAAATTAAAGCACAGCCATTGTTCGAGAGCTGTGTGGCCTACAAGAACTTTTAACGTTAAACCTGGTGTTTTCCTGAAAACCAGGGGAGACGCAGCAGGAAGCGGGTAAATTGATCACCGACCGAATTGCTTAAACCAGCATTAAAACATCGTAAGATAAATGCTACCCCTTACCCCACCTCCCTCGCTCTTAATAAAGGAAATTCCTTACTCATGATCTGTCGAATAAAATCCCTGCTCAGAACAAAGTTATTAAACATTGACCAAGGGGGGGAAAAAAAAAAATTCAGAGTATTTCTCAGGTTGGGGCAAGAGACAGACTCTTAAAATTACCAGTTTGCAATTAAAAAGGGTCAAACGCTGTTATTACGCGAAAAAATTTTTTTGGTTGATAGTAGGTTAGTAAAAAAAAAAAAAAAAAAAGAGGGGGGGGGGGGGAGAACCCACACAAACACAAAAACGCCAGGGTCACCCAGCACACCAAAAAGTATTGTCTGCATCTCCCTCCCTCCCGTTCGCGAGGCACCGTCCCTCTCCTCTGCCAGGGACACCGAGCCCCCCCAGCCCGCCGAAGACCCCCCAGAGCC